AAAAAACTGCCCGTTTTATGATGACGATTCTTTGCGGTATTATTGATCAGCCATCCTACCTTGCTAATATAAAACAAACCGCTTGTCCCTTCGATCCCCCTACGCTGAGATAATGAGCGGTGAAAATCTGGAATTTTTGCCGAAAACCGACTCGAGATCCCAGTTGGCTGTGACCCTCTCACTTCAGGGAACCTCGCGTGTTTCCGTCAATGATTAACAAATGGAATGAATACATGTCTGTTATTGATTGCCATAGTGATGACCCCACCTGTGCCCACCTCATGCTGGATGTATAGTAAACTCTGATAGTACTGACTGATCAGCGCTACCTATGGCGCTACAACAGCGGCGACCGGAAGCAACATACTGGCCACAAAACCACTCCAAACCACCACAAACTCGAGATCCCTGTTGGATGTGACCTCCAACAGGGATCTCGAGTCGGTTTTCAGCAAAAATACCAGATTTTCACCCCTCATTATCTCAGCGTAGGAGCATCGTAGGGACAAGCGGTTTGTTTTATATTAGTAAGGTAGGGACAGCTGATCAAATACTACCGCAAAGAATCGTCAAAAAAAACGGGCTAGTTTTTTAATTCGACTAATACTGCAACATGGGTTTCGCATTTCACCGTTGTACGCTCTCCTTCTTAATACGCCCTTGATGAAATGTATTCACATCGGCTACGCCTACTCCCTAACTCTAACCGAACCCGAACCCTAAACCTAACCCTAACCCTAACCTAATCCTAACCCTAACCATATAATTTAAAATAGTGACCAAGGTACGTTTCGGCAGTACCCTGGGGGACATAGACCCTATGAGCACTACTAGGCCTACTGTACTGTAGTAGTAGTAGTACTAGTAGTAGTAGTAGTAGTACTGGTGGGGGGGTAGTAGCTAATAAAGTACTTACTAGTAGTAGGTACTATAGGTATAGTAGACTAGTTCTATGAATATGAAGAGAATGCAATAATAACACTGGTCATTCACCTCTAAAGGACAAACGGCAACTGAATTGAAGTTCATTTACGGCTAAAACTCACGCACGTGATTGGTGGTGATGGTGTGTATCAGGGCTGCCAACTCTCACGCATTGACCGTGAGACCACGCATTTTGAACCAAATTCCACGCTCTCACTCTGATCTTACAATATCTCACGCACATCAAAAAATGCTGAGATATCTCACGCATGAATATCTCTTCATGAATAAAACTTACAATATCTGAAAACAGTCGCTTTAGTATGCACCAAATTTGGCCACAAATTGAAGTATAAAATGCAAAAGCTCCTACCAAGTGGGAGGGGGAAACCCCCTTACGACACCCCCCCCCCCCCCCGCCCCTCCCCACCAGCGGCCCACCCTCGCCTCGTCGCTTCGCCCGTCGAATCTCACTCTCACCTATCAACCCAAATGTTGGCAGCCGCTGTGTGTATATATAATAGTCCGTAGTGGCAGCGATCTTATCGGACGGCATATTGCTAGACTGACGTTGGTAGCGGGGTTAGTACGGCCGTGGTACCGTCATGTATAATCAACGGAAATGCTGCAATCAACAACTGCAGAGACGTGCCACAACGACTAATCACCAGTGGGCTCATCACAGTTCCATTTCTGCCACACGGTTTATGAGGCAATTGGCATTTGTGCAGTTTTTGCTTCCTGTTTGTTCATCACCTCCGCCATTATGCATGCAAATGTACATTCCACACAGTCAGAAAACTGTCGAACGTTTGCATACTGTCAGTAACCAACTACTGGCCAACTGAAACACGTAAGGTCCCTACAGTAAAACTCCTAAGTGTGTTTGTATGCCTCAGATTTGCGCATTGTTTTAGTTTTCATCAATGCCGCTGAAAGTCTTCAGTATGTCAGCTGCCTACTGTAATCGGTTAAAAACCAGTTAAAACACTGTCAAATGCTAGTCCAGCGACTTTTTATTTAAGATCTACACCAATATGGAGGAATGCAATAATAACACTGGTCATTTCACCTCTAAAGGACAAACGGCAACTGAATAAAGTTATTTACGGCTAAAACTCACAACGTGATAGTGGTGGCGTAGCGTAGTGGCGCGATCTATCAGACGTCATATGTGCTAGACTGACGTTGGTACGGGCTAGCTAGTACGGGCCGTATACCGGTCATGTATAATCACGGGAAATGTGCAATTCAACAACCTGCAGAGACGTGCCCAACCTGCTATCACAGTGGCTCAATCACAGTTGCATTTCTGCATCACCGGTTTATGAGCAATTGCATTTGTGCAGTTTTTGCTTCCTGTTGTTCATCACCTGCCGCCATTATGCATGGCAAATGTACATTCCACACAGTCTAGAAACATGTCGAACGTTTGTATACTGTCAGTAACCCAATACTGGCCAACTGAACACGTAGGTCCCTACAGTAAAACTCCTGCGTGTTTTGTATGCCTCATGATTTGCGCATTGTTTTAGTTTTCATCAATGCCGCTGAATCCTTCAGTATGTCAGTGCTACTGTAGAATCGGTTAAACCGTTAAACACTGTCAAATGTAGTCAGCGACTTTTTTTTAATCTACACCCTAAAATACGTGCTTTCATGCAATACTCGACTTAAATGCCATCCTGCCAATGCTAATTTGTAAAGCTTGCACGGATGAAAATATGTACACTGGGGCCAAGAATATGCCGTTCTTTATTATGAGAATATTCAAGTCTCCTATTCAAGTTTATTTATTAAGAGAATGGCAGAAGAAGTGCATGAATGTTTGCTGCTTTTCACTCCTTAGATGTAACAACGTTACAGTTCTATGGACTGGAATACGGTCGCATCATATATGGTTTATATGGCATAATTTGTGCTGACGTCCCCTGAACCCTAGTGGGGAAATTGCGTGAAAAATAGGTTAAACGTACTTAATAACATAAACGCGGATAAGGCTTAAACATGCGGCGGTATGAACCTTCTTTTGTTTTTCGACATGCAGAAATACATGGGAATTTTATATAGTACACAGTTAGGTTAAACGATAGAGATGATGTCCAGGACGGACAGGACAGTAATGAAGATCATCGTATGTATGAGATCATAAGCGTCCTGCACATGATCTGTAGCCTTCAACCGCAATGGCGACTGTGAAGAACAACATTGTAGAATAACTATAATAATCATGTTTACTGTAGTCGCTGGTTAACTCTGTTGCCAGACAACTGTGCGCTTATAGGTGACTGCTATATATGCGCCGTGTAATTGTTTGACTAAACTTACGAATGTGATAATAAAATGAGAGTAGTCTGATGTGGATTACAAACTGCCGTTTCACTATTGAATACTTACAAAATCAGTACAAATCACACAGGGTAGACTAGAGGTTTTCAGAATGCACATACAAGTAACACAACAGAGGGGTGAGTACACGAGAGCCCCGTTTCTTCCGTGCGAGCTCTCTTATACCTCCCTTCGTCAACGGAGCCGTGAAACCCTCCCCAAATATGTTTCTCCCTATCACTGCTGACTACAGGGATAGTAGAGGGGTAGAATTATTGTCTGTGGTCAGTTTGTGGAGTGGGATAGAGTAGATGACCAATGGCGAGTATTGAGTGGAGATGGGTTTACGCCCTCCTTCCCCCTCAGGCACGTGGGTGCTTCGTAGGTGGCATGACGTATGACGTATGACGTATGCTGGTTGATCGTTTACCGTAATTAAATCTCTAACAGCTGTGTAGAAATAACTTTAGGCTAATGTGTGTATTTTACTGGCCGACATCTGACCGTACTCCGGGCAGTGTCGGACCCCCCCCCTATGTGTGTATCTAAGATATTATGTGTTGCCAGCTAACCCGCACGACAGACTATGATGACGCTAATGTGTGTGTGGTCAGTGTAGAACAGCTGTTTAGTAGCTGTGTAAAAACAACGTTGCTAATGTGTATGTGTATTCTTTGCCGACAGCTAACCCAAACTACTGTTGTGATGCGGCTAAGGTGTGTGTGTAAGCTGTTATTCGTTGAAAGTTGATCCGTACTATAGGCAGGGATGCGGCCAACATGTGTAGGTTGTA